AATAATATCATTATCTTCATCGTCATGATCACAGTCCTGAATATGCACCCAAATACATCAGACAAGAATGAAATACTAAGTAAAATGGTGAATAAATTATTATACTTTCCGTCACTTTAAAGTTCACTAGAAAATCTTTTCACATAGCTTATAAAAAAGACTAAATTAATCGGGGAAAAGGGAAAAAGAAACATGCCTTATTATTCATGATCATGACAAGGTCACCATGTCCACCTTGCAAAAGCTAATCCCTTTAAAAGTAGGGTCATTATTTACCACGTCTCTAGCATCAAGCTCTGCTTTCCATTTCTCAAGTTTTTCTTCTCGTTCTTATGTGAAACTTACATATTGATCTTGTTTACATGGCTGAGTTGCTGGAGAATTTTGCAGACCACACAAAAAAAAAACTGATTAGATTTTTATATATTCTAGTAAATTATGAGTTGACTTGATGGTGTAATGTATTTACCATGGTTTCATATTTATGTTGCTTGTACGCGGTATAGACTTCTTCCACATATTCCCCAAAGCCAAGAACCTAGGAAAGGCCTTTACTGGAAACACAAACTAGGCATGTCAGGACAAAACTACACACGCCAAAATAAAACACAAACTAGGCATGAAGATGCTTTGACACATAACACACAAGATGGTATTAAAGAGAAAAACAAAAATTATATCAAAAACTAGAAGTTTTGGTCTATCCACCAGAGTACATAAGGTAAGATACAAAATGTCAATTCAGAATCTGCAAGAAAATGGGGAATAGGTATGCTTATAATATCTATTTACCTTTACCACTATGTCGATTAGCCTTTTTCCTTGGAAGAAGACCCAAGGAACCATGTCTTGGATGCTCAAACTTTCTGTGAGACATAATCTAAACAAGAAACAAACACTGCAAAAGTAAGGATGATTTTACACAAAACAAGACAAAATTCAATCCAATCATACGTGATACACTACTCAACCAATCACCAAACACCAAAAGGATGACAAATTCTGCTTGTTGTAAGGATTATTTTGCAAAGTCCCGTTAACATTAACCAAAAACAAAATCAATACTTCAGAATCAATCAGATTTGTACAAGAACAGAATTTGCAAAGAAACAAAGACACATAAGACAGTCTCATGAATTCTGGTAATAAGATACGAAATGTTCCCCCGATCAAAGGCTAACTAAATCTCAAGCTCACTTTGAGTGTTTCTCAACAAAAACCAGATTATGGTTTCCAGCAAAAGAGCATATCAGAGATTGCGGTCTTGATTTGATAAAGTTTCCGAGGGTTTTCATTTCGATCAAAAACCAGAACAAGGTGAGAATATACACATGTGTATCTCTAGATTATAAACACAAACTACACACGCCAAAAATATTGCGTTGTTCAGGTCGATCAAGATTATGTTTGGTCGTATCTATTATTGAGTTGTTCAGGATGATTCGCCAAAAATTAATGAATAGATCGATCAAGAGAAGGAAAAGAGACCGAACAAACCTTTTGGAAGGAAAGCATCGACTTCGCCTTCGACAAAGAGAGAAGAGAAAGGAGTCGCGAGAGAGAGAAAAAAATTAGGGGTTTTCAGTTTTTTTTTTAGATCTGAGTTATAATTCGGACCGGGTTTTTTAATTGGTTCTGGGTATGGGTCCAAATCCTTGGTTGGGTCACGTAATTTCTCTGATTCATTAAGAGTATATTTGTAATTGCTGACGTTTTTATTAAAAAAAAAAGGCTTATCTGATTTGAATTATTATTTTAGGGGTTTAAAAGATTGATACTCTTTTTAAATCTCACGCAACGCGTGGGCAATCCCTAGTGTTTCCATATAGTATGGCAAAACAAATTGTTTTGCTGGTGAGTTGATTTAAATAATTATGATGACATTTATTTATCATAATAAAAACTGTAT